GGGGGGGAGGATTAACAGGGAGAGATTTCATAGATTTTGATCTCATTTCGGGATTTCATGTTTGGAGGATTTTTTGGGGGGATTTTTAAGGTGGATTTTAGGTAATAATGTCATGGTGGGATTTTAGGGGTGCATGTCATGAGGAATATAATGGTGGAAATTTCATGTGAAGACTTAATGTACATTTCATAGGGAGAGGACTTAAAATAGGCCTATCTGTGGTCCGTTTGTGTGTTTCTTGAAGGGAGAAAGAATAGATAGATAGATAGACAGAAAATAGAAGAAGAAAAATATAAGTTGATAGTTATGTTTTTTTGTAGGTTAAATTAGTCTGTGGTATATATTTTTTCGTCTCCTTTTTGAATTTTTTTTTTTTTAATATCTTAATTAAATCAATCGTTATTCTTATCCAATATCGTTTTTTTTTTTAGGATTTATCTCTGACGAAACAAAAGATTGCAAAAATAAATACGTTAGATACAAATTTTAAAAATCATATCAGTTGCTTCTTCGGTGTGAAAAAATTAAATATGTTATATAAACAGGAAAAAAAAACAAAAAAAGAAAAATACGTTATATAAAAAAATAAAAATCATATTAGTTGCTTCTTTGGATGTGAAAAAAAAGGAAAGTGGAAACTGCATTTTTACAAGAGCCAGATTTGTGATTAAGAACATTAATTGATATGAAATTGCGTTCTCCATGTGTGGTGATTGTAAATAAGGTAATAATAAACAAAGTCTGATAAAGGTAGACAAAGGAGAGACAGAGAGAGAGGAAGGGGAGAAAGGCCATACCACGTGTGCCTTGGACCAGGAAGTAGACAGAATTACCTCTCCCCTCCTCCCCTCTCCTTTCTGTTCTCTCACCTCCCTTTCTCCTCCTCTCTCCCCTGTCTCCTCTATCTCCCTCATCTCTTTCTCTCCCCTTCTTTTCCCCTCTCTACTCTCTCTCTCCTCTGTCTTTTTCCTTTTCTCCTCTTCCCTCTCTCTCTTCTCCCGTCCTTCCCTTTCCCCTCCTCTTCTCATCTCCTCTCTCCTCCTCTCCCCTCTCTTCTCTCTTCGTCTCTACTTCCCTCCTCCTCTTTTCTACCTCCTCTCTTTCTCTTTCTCCCCTTTCTCTCTCTCATCTCTTTCACTCCCCTCTCCCTTTTACATTCCTTTTCCACTCCCCTCTCTCTCTTCCTCTCCCCTTTTTCCACCCTCTCTCTCCTCCTCCCCCTTCCCCTTCCCTCCTCCCCCCCTTCCTCCTTTTCCCTCTCTCTCCTCCCTCCCCTCCCCTTCCTCCCTCCTTCCTCCTCCTCCCTCTCCCCCTCTCCTCCTCCTTTTCCTCCTCCCTTCCCCCTCCTCATCCCTTCCCCCCCTCCCTCTCCCCTCTCCGGACACGCGTGTGACATTCCTCCTCACTTCCTCTCTTCCTTCTCCGCTGACCCCTCCTCCCCTCGCTTCATCAGACCCGAGGTTCTGAGTGGTGCCAAGTAAGGCCCTGCGCGTGGCAGTGGCACCGCGACCTTTGGCGTGCCTGGGTCATTCCTCCTCAGGCACACACGCACGTACGCTCATACAGGCACAAACATACGCACAGACACGCTGATACACTCGTACATACACACAGATACACAGACAGGCGCACACAGACACGTATGCATGGCAAGCACACACACAGACACACACAGGCACACACAGACACGCATATACACGCACACACACACAGGCACACACAGACACATGCACATGCACACACACACGCACAAACGCACACATACGCACGTGCAAACACAGAGATACACATAGACATACATACATCACGTACACAGCACACACACACACACGTACACACACAATGATAATAATCCAACGCTGTATACTACCAAGAAATTATATATGTACATTAACCGTTACTCTCAAAACACAAAGCAAAGCAAATGGAAAACAACAAACAAAAAAAAAAAAGCGAAAAAAACTAAAACAATAAGAAAAACACACAAAATAACGACAGAAAAACATAAGACAAAAGTATACCATACAAAAGCGAAACGGCACAAAAATAGACAATAATAATAAAAAAAAAAAAAATAAAGCAACAAAAACAACAAACAAACAAATCCAAACCCCTGAAAAAAAAATGAAACACAAAAACGAAACAAATAATAAACAAACAACAATAAAAAAGAAAAACAAAACACACAAAAAACTATAAATAAAATGAAACACAAAACCAAAACAAATAATAAACAAACAACAATAACAAAAGATAAAAAAAAACAAAAACCACACGAAAAACAACTAAACACAACAAACAAACAAACAAAGCGAAACGAAAAAAACCACTAACACAAGCAACAAACAAACAAAGCACAAACAAAACAAAAACAAACAAACAAACAAAACAAACAAAGCCCCAACCCCCCCCCCTCTCACCACACTCACCCTTCCCGTAGATAACACGCAACAAACAAACAAACAAAGCACAAACGAAAAACAGTATCTCACCCACTCAC